AAAAAACTTGAATAATAAACTATTAAGAAACCAGATCATGTTCTGCAATATTTCCCAGGAAAAAAAATTGACTACTTAATAAATTCTTTGGAACTCTAGGAAAGAAACAAAATTCAGCAATTTGAAAACTAACCCAAGAACTGTGACCGATGGCAATTCTATTCCACCAAGTCAGACAAAGAAGAAAGAAACATGGTGATCCATAACTTGATGTAGAAATAAAGAAGGAAAGGAGAAAGAAAGCACCCAAAATGGTGACTTTTTCAAGTGGGATTTTTACCTGAATCAAACTGAAAATCCAATGATATGGAAATGGACATTTTACTTGGGTATCTGTATCTTCCCATTTAATTACTCAATCACCTACAAATAATGCAAATCCATAAAAAAAGACAGAATCAATCAACTGCCTTGAATTTTTTGTGTTTTCTGAAGTAATTTCCTAATGAGGGTAGTTTGAGAAAAACAGCAAAGTAAAGGGATAGAGAAGTGTGTGTTGAACTTTAGGAAACCAAAGATCACTTTTTATCAACATTTATTAATGAAAATTTGGTTTTCTTCCAACTCCAAATGGACAAGTTGGAAGCTGCTGAGGAAAGCACTTGTTTCTTAGAAATTGGAAAGTCTGTGAATCTTGTCTTTACTTTCCTTTTTTTGGGAAAATGGTCAAATTTACCCTCAAACTTTTACATAAGCAACAATTTCACCTTTCAAACATTGTTTGAGGTAGTTACATCCTTGTACATTTTGTTTTTGACAATTGAAGTTACAATGAATGGAGACTCATGTGAGTCACATAAATCTTCAACCCCTATTGGGCTTCATTTTACCATACTTTTCATATACATTTTTCACACCACACCTCATCTAAAATTGTAAAATTATTATTCTAAATTAATTTTGCATATATTTTTACTAATTTTAATAAATTTTTATATAATTTTAGAATAATAAGAGATTAACAAAAAAAAACTTGTTACTATATGAGTGTTTTCACCCTTCTAGTATCATTAATCTCCACATAGATTTTTAGAAGAATATAAATTTCTTTCCTTATCAGGATGTTAAATCATACCATACTACTATTATGCACAAAGGTCTAAGGTTTTGGCAGCCAATGTTACACATATCTATTTTGGGTTAAATTGTCAAAAATTGGAAGTTCCGGTACAGAATTAGTCAAACAAATCTTGGAGGGTGGGATGGTGGATTGAAAGCATTTCCCCCCCTTTTCTCATCTTCCTCCTGTTTCTTGCCAGGAAGGATGTTTATGTTTATTAAATCTAAAAAGGATCCTCTCTAGTTGGCATATGCTTGATGTTTTAGCATAATTGAGTACAACCCCTCAAGGAATTGCAAGGTTAATTTTGATTTCCTCATGATTCATGGTGGATTTGTTTTGTTTCTACCAATGCCTCCCTTTTTTTTTTTTTTTTTTTTTTTTTTAATGGAAAGAAGTATTACAATCAACTTCTTCATATTTGTGTTTTAAGACAACACTGTTCTTGCAATTACTTCTCAATACCTAAAGAATTATAATTTTACTAATGTACAATTTTTTATTTTTAAAAGTCAAATAATATGATGAACTAACTATCATATAAAATTGTAAGAATTTATTGTAAGTTTAACATTTTTTATTTGGTTAAAATACACCAACATCTTACCGTCTCTGGTGTTGACATCAGAATATAGCAATAAAGTATTTTAATCATGTAGAGAATCTGGGATTGACCAAAAATACAAACAATAATTAAGAACAACTTGCTATTCTAAAGACGGCAGTTGTCCTGATTCCCAAGAAAACAAAGCCAAAGCCTTCTAAACACAGATTTTGACAATAAAGTAACATCATCATCATCATTAGGATATAATTTCCTTGAAGAGGAGAAACTAATAAGATTTTGATATTAATTTTTGATCCGGATTGACAACATGCTTGGTTGGCAGTTTCTTTTGGTGCAGTTTGGATTGGCGGTCTAACCTGCAACAAACAAGTCAGTCTTTATCTGCATCAAAGTCATGGAAGGCCAACCACCAATATCATCAGGTAATTAACATTGTAAGATAAATGACAGAACTTTGAAACAGACAGCAACGATATGATATCTGAAGCAGCCCCACAATCATCAATCAACTTTAAGTCAGATTACATGATTTATTCTGCCTAATGCTATGACCTTCTATTTGCGCGTTTGTGATGACCACATACTAATTCCAGGAAACAGGCTGGAAACTAGATAGCCCTGGTGAGACCTATTGAGAGGCTGTGAGTATTCCTTTCCACGTCCAACATCACTAAAAACAAGCTGATGGGGTAGGTGCTGTGAAGAGGGAACGTACACGCAATGAAGCTGCTGGGAGGTTAAACGTGATAAGTGAAGTTTCATTTTCATTCCATCCTACCCCACCCCACTTTTCATTGTGTCCACTAAGGGTTTAACCTTGACCTAGAGGATTCTTACAGCTGTTGACTAAGTTCCATAGTTAGATTCTGAGAATCCAAAATGGCTGCTTACAGTGACAATTCTTATTTTCCACAATCCCCACCATCATTATCTTAACTCTTCAACATATTGGAACTCCCACTAGACATTCAACGACAGTGTGTAAGGCTTAAGAAGTCTTTTGACTAAGCAGCACAAAACACATCCACTAATCTGAAATTCTACATATCTGAATTTCAGCACCACGCCAAAGGTGTACCCAATATTCATTCATTTTTTCTTTTTTTTGGGGGGGGTGTACAAAGGAACCAAGACTATAGCTTAATCACGGAGGAACAGAGCCACAGAAATGTTTCCTTGTAGGATCAAATGAATACCAGTTGGTGGTTCTATGAAGATCATTGTCCCCAGCGGAAGTTCATGACCTAGGGTAATAGAAATATGATATGCAGATCACATAAATTTTGCCAAAGGACAGGGAGATTTGCCACTAGACAGGACAACTCAAACTCAGATTCAAGGACTCACCTACCTAACTTATTGATCCATCATGCCTGCTCGAGAAATAGAGAAGGAAAAAAATTTGCTTGCATGAAGAATCATGGCATAAAATTGGGAATTGGAATTCATTTTTGGTAGCTCTCAACCAAGAAACAGTTCCTAGGATAGGAGTTGATACATACCTGCAACAGCTTCGTTTCATAACTAACGAATCATTTCTGAGTGAGACTCCACTAGCAAAAATGGGTTCACTTTGATCTGATTTCAAAGCATCTGCACACAATTCTAAAGGCTATGATACTAAAAACCATAGGAACATATTCTAACACTATCAAAAGGATAGGAATTCCAGAAATGAAATAATTTAGCCAAAGCAGATGCCTGGGAAAGGAATAACTACTAGAAAACTCTCGGCTCATATTTATATAATGCACTGGTTCCAGTTGTCACCTAAAATGTATAGATGTTAGTCAGCAACATATGTACATATAGACCTCTCCAGAAATCTTTTATCACAGATTCCATGAATCAAATAAAACAGTGGGGCACCCATGCCTTGGGGGCTTTTACAGCAACAAGTCAAAGATAAATCAGAAGACATATGCATAACAAACTGTTTTGTTCATAGAAGATGTTGACACAGGTAGACAACAGAAGCAAAATGATCATCAAGAAAAAGTTACAGCAGAACTTTGACAGAAATAAGTGGTTATCAAAAAATACACTCCAGAAGCACAATGATCATCACAAAATGGTAACCACAATGGCAAGAAATTTGCAACAAAGTGAAGTAAAAGTAAGCAATAATATTATCTCCTTTATTTGATTTTCAGCAATGGTATACATTAAATTATTCTTTCATTTTACATCACTATGAAATTATGAAATCAGCTTCACATTCGTGTTTATTTCCCCTCTAACTTTTACTATGTTGCTAAATATAATGATAAATCTATAAATCAAGAACTTGACAACTAAAAAGTTCTGCAAGCCCAAAATCCCTGCTGGCAACAACCTTCCAGATAACTGATTCTGATTCAGCTACTGAATTAGAAAGCTCATGCAACTTACTATCTGTAAGAGGATTTGAACTTGAAGGTGAAAAATCCAAAATATGATGAGGATCAGCCCGCAAAACTGCAATGTCATGATTAGCATCTTTTGTGATGAGATGAAGCTTCCCATGAAATCCAGCAAGTAAATACGGAGATTCTGAATCAGCAAAATCACAAATAGGGACTTTACCGATGGCAACCTTCCAAGCATCTTCTTTTTGATCATAAACCTTTATCTTACCACTATCCGTAGAGCTAGATGGATCAAAAGCATACAATTCACCATCAACTACTACACTCAGTTTAGTACCTGCTTGCCGTGCAGGCCAACCGTCCCCCATACCACTTGGCATTTCATCCCATGAATTTGTTTCGGGATTATAAATCTCTCCCCCAACATCAACAAAAAATGGCCATGAATATAAACTCTGGGGTACAAATAACCTTCCCATGTATGAAGTCATCCCAGTGGCAATAGGCTTAAGCATGTCAGCCAAGAAGGCATTAGGGAATGTTTCAGCTCTTGAAAATGGCATATTTGGAACATGGGACCATGAACCAATGCAAGGGTCAAAAACTTCAGCAGATTGAAGAGGAGCCAATCCCCCTCGGCCCCTGCTAACTCCTCCAACAACATAAAGCTTATTATTCAAAATACCAGTCTTACAATAGGCTCTACCAACAGACATGGAAGGCATTTCACTCCATGCATTTAAAATTGGATCAAAACGCCATACACATCTCATAGTGGAAGCTCTACAGAATCCCCCTAACACATATAGACATCCATCAAGAGCACCAATTGCACAACCAGGGAATGGCATGTGACCCCAGTCACCCTTCTGCCCAAGCCAACCCCTAATGAATTCAGCAATTATAGACCTTGGTCCTGCCACATTCAACATCCAAAGTCCAGAAAAACCCTTACTAGATTCTTCATAAACAGCATTTGGCATTGGTGGCAGCCTCTGCCATCTTCTTGACACAGGGTCCAAAGCATGCCACAGAAGTTTTTCCTCTCCAAGTCTAGTCAACATGTATAACCACTCCTCAGTTGTTCCAAGTTCTTTTCTCAATTTAAACAGATCAGAACTCATAATAGTTTCCTTCCACTTCTTTGAAACTAGCCTCAAATTAAAGTAGTAAATTCTAGGAATTCTGGCAAGGATCTGAACTGATAACTCATCAGGAAGACTCGGAATCAACCCTGTGCTCTCCTCATTGCAGTATGAGGACAACTTCTGTTTCTTGCAGGTTTCAACCTGTGGGACCTCATTGTAATCACTTACCCTACACTTTGGACTGGCCAAGCTCAAAATTGCTCCCATTGTAAATTCTCAGACTAAGGAATTCCCAGCTATATCTCACTTTCTTTGAAGGAACACACTTAGTCCAAGAGCTGCAAAATAATGTACATTTCATTTATCACGCAAATTTTACTTAAGGAAGTAGAGACAATGAAAATAAATGAATCAACAGTATCAGCATATGTTAAGCAAGATTTCAGTCTCCCAATAGAAAAGAATGAAAATCTCATAGGCTATTGCACCAACAACCAGACACCAAGTACCACATATTTAGGCCTTGCTTTCAACTACAATGGAGTTGAATGGAAAAGAGAGCAAAAGTAAAACAAAAAGCTTCAAATTATTCGAAATTATAACCCTCTTTCTTTCCCAGAAGAAAGGGAGCAGAAACATAAAAGTACCATCTGTCAATCCAATCTACCATTTTTAACAGAGTTCCCTTCAAATATATCATAAGTAGAATGCAATCAACATATGCTCAAATATCCAATTCCCCATGGAAGTTTCACTATATTAAACTCCAAATGATTTTATAATCATCAGGACAAGGTTAAAAACTATCTTTTAGCTCCAGCCGCAGCATTGACTGACATTATTACATACAATTACACAGGAAACATAATTTAGTGATACTCTCCCAAGCACTGTGATCCATGTTAAAAGAGGAAAAGAAGATTCTGAAACAAACTCTATCATCCTATAAAAATAACAGAAAATCCGCCAAGATCATGCTAAACTCATAGAATTAAGCAAAATCCCTTCAAAACATCCACCAACATTGGAAACACTGTTCCCTTATTTCTCTTCCCATCAACACAAAAACACCTTTGAGCTGAATTCCAATCAGAACTCAATACAAGCATAAATCAAATTGCTACGAACACTCTGAATTCAACCATACCCACATCACCCTCTACCAATCCTCCCCAAAAAAAAAAGGCAAAATCCAACAAACACAAAATCAAATCAAATTCAAGAAGAGAAACAAGATCCAGGAAACCTACCAGAATTAAAGCGTGTAACGGTAGGAATTTCTTCACACTCATTACTCACAGATAATGGACTTGGTTGAGGGAACCGGGAAGATAATTTGATTGATGTGTAACTTTTATCTGACACCCAAATCCAACAAAGAGTTCCGGTCCGAATTTGCTTTCCCAGACAAAACTACAGTCAGAAAAAAAAAAAAAAATCCAAAAATTTAAAACAGCACAAGAGCTGTGTCAGCATCTAAATCATGAAATAATTCCACAAAAAACCTTTGCATTCAAAAGCTTGACCACTTGACTTACACCTACTTCCACACATTTTTTCGTCTTAATTAATTTGGAAAATTTTAAAAAAAAAAAAAACACGTGGAAGAATTCGTACGCGAGACCAATCCCAACATTCTCCCGCGTCGGTCGGTTTGGATTAATTTATGAAAACAATATTTAAATGATTTTACTTGCAACCTCAACATTTTAAATTTAAATAATGATAACAGAGAGGAAAATTTAATATTGAAATTTAACATTAATAACATGATTTATATGAAGTTATTTTAAATAGTAAAATTTAAATTTTATATTATTTAATAATTAAATTATTTTAAACTTATAATATTATAAATATTAATTAATTTAATAACTTAACATAGACGATCTCGTTGCTTTGAAATTTTCACCTCAAATTTTTATTCT